TATTTTCAAGAACTGCAAGGATGCACCCAAAAAGCGACTGCTGTTACACACTGCCACCAACCAGCTAGGAAATAAGTCAGGAAAACCATTTCATTCGCAATAGCAACAGACATTAAAAGTCTCCTGAGTAAATTCTGTTAACATCTGAAAGAAAAAACCCAACAACCAGGCAAACCGGGCAGAGGACAGAAACAATATTCAGAAGATACAAATAGCTGACGCACCTTTGAAAGCATCCTGGTCGTAGCTAACGGTCAAATAAATACATATTTTCATCTCTCACACTGGAAGAAAAGATGAAGTCTGATCATACCAAAAATGTCAATAAGGATATAAAGAAATGTACATTTCAGTCTGGGCACGGTGGCTCACACTTGTAATTCCAGCACTTTGGGAGGCCGAGGCAGGTGGATCACCAGCAGTCAGGAGTTTGAGACTAGCCTGGCCAACAAGGTGAAAGCCCGTCTCTATTAAAATACAAAAATTAGCCGGGCGTGGTGGCAGGCGCCTGTAATCCTAGCTACTCGGAAGGCTGAGGCATGAGAATCATTTAAACCTGGGAGGCAGAGGTTGCAGTGAGCCAAGATCACGCTACTGCACTCCAGCCTGGGCGACAGAGTGAGACTTTATCTCAAAAAAGAAAAAAAAAGAAATGTACATTTCATACACCACTGGTGGGAATCTAAATTGATATAATCTTTCTGGAGAGCAACCAGATGTATCGATGAAAATGTTTAAACGTACTTTTTTTTTTTTGAGACAGAGTCTTGCTCTGTCACCCAGGCTGGAGTGCAGTATCATGATCTTGGCTAACTGCAACCTCTGCCTCCCAGGGTCAAGCAATTACCCTGTCTCAGCCTCCCGAGCATGTGGGATGCCACCATGCCCTGCTAATTTTTTGTATTTTTAGTAGAGACAGGGCTTCACTATGTTGGCAGGGCTGGTTTTGAATTCCTGACCTCAAGTGATCCAGCCACCTCAGCCTCCCAAAGTGCTTGGCTGGAGCCACTGTGCCCGGCCAAATTTGACTTTCTGTCCTGAGTAAATCCAACTATCCAAGAATCCACCCCTGAAGTTCATACAAAAATACGTAACACAGGGTGTTGAAAGTGCTTTGAAACTAGAGGTGGTGGTCACACAGCATGGTGAACGTACTCAAGGCCACCTGCTTACCTTAAAATCGTTAATTTTATGCTATGTGAATTTCATCACAATAAAAATTGTTTGGATTTTAAAAATTTGTAAATGACTGCAGTGTGTACAGAGATGGTCACTGTGGTGAGTAGCGGAGGCACTGGAGGCAGCCTGCAGGCCTGTCCTTTGTACCTCGGTTAATCAGGGTACTAACGTACCCAGGCAGCTAACACAGTGGAATGACACATCCTGCTGTCCGACACGGAAAGAGTATCAGACTGTGTTGTGAAGACAGAGAGGACCTTGTAGGATGAAATTCCTATTAGCAAGAAGCAAACCCAAACTCACCACTGACTCCATTTCTGTGTCTGCAGTCTGAACTTGCTTCCCTGTGGGAACTCTGTTCTTTACAGATAATCTGTATGATTTACATTTTTTAAAGCACCAGTTACTTTTGTTTAAAAAATATATACACTTAAAAAAAGGCAGTAAGACAAGCCCTGTCAATCTGTAGAACGAGAAGTGAAGACACCCCACCTATGATAAGCACACCTAGTGCCAGGGACCAGGGCTCCCGGGAGAAACACTGATCCAGGGCTGACGCCCAGGAGCCCGGGACACCTTGAGACCAGAAATTAGGAAAGAAAAATTAAAAAAAAAAATTGGCAATCATCCTAACAGATGAAATTGGGCCAGAATTGGCAACATTGCTGAACCTGGGGCAAGTCTGATGAGGAACAGGGTATGGACATGGAGATGGTGTGTCTCCAGGTATTTCTTATTAGCTGGAAAGAAAAATACAGTAACTATGCTATGGAGAAAGTGGACACACCTCCACCAGGTGTGCCAGGTATTCACTTACTGCCTCTTAGCTCCGAACTCCCCTGACCTTGCCACACGGAAGAGGGGACTCTGCAAACCCCTTTCTCCTTGGCCAGCCTGGCCCACAGTGGGCTCTGAAGGGGCCCACAGGGCTAGGAGGAAGACGACGGCCTTTTTCTTCTGTCTCCTGTGTTCTGGCACGGGTCCCGCAGCATTCCCTGCAGAGGCAGCTCTCCGTTCCCGCGGCCTGGCGACGGACATCTCTGGGGAGTTGGTTCTCCGGCATGTCCCGGGCAGCCACAGCTGCCCCTCGGAGGTCTCTCCACCTTGGGGAACCTCCCCTGAGTTTCCGAGCTCCTTCCCTGTTCTCTCTTCCCTTAGGCCTAGGGGTGATGGCTGTTCTCTGCTAAGCCCCTTTAGAGCTCTCTCTCTTTTTTAAAATCCCTTTTAGTAGTTGAGTACCTTCTACACAGTTAACACTTATATTAAAATCTTCCTGTTCGCATTTCCTTCCCCTCGGACTAGACAGTCAAAACAAACGTTCCCACTGAGGGGCAGATGGACACTGCGTGCCTCGAGATGGGGTGCCCTGAGAGGCCACGTGACCAAGGCAGTGGTTCAGCCACCTGGAACGCACATCCAAATCTAATCACAAGGAAATGGCAGACAAACGCAGGTAAGCAGCACCATCTAACACAAACTGCTCCTGTCATCAGAGGCAAAGCTATGAAAATGACCCAGATTAAAGGTGGCCTGGGAGACATGACAGCTCAATAGAATACCTAATCCAGACTGGATCCAGCCCCGCAGAGGGAAAGCTGCTAGAGGACATGACTCGGCCAACGGGAATATGAGTGGTGAGGCATTTCGTCAGTGTTACATGGACTGAGTTTGACAACGATACTGCGGTTGTCAGAGAAAATCTTCTGGGTAGGTACCCACTGAGGTATTAGGGGTAAAAGGCCTTGATGGGCATGGAGCGAAGGGGAGGGAGGGAGAGGAAGAGATGGGGGGTTGGGGCGAGGGAGACAGAGCGCACAAACATTAGAGACACACGATGGATGGAATGGGAAGAAATGTTAATAGGTTTATCTGGGCAAAAGGTCTTTGAGCCTCATGTGTAGAGTTCTTATTCTTGCAACTTTTCTGTAGGTTTGAAATCATTTCCAAGTAAGATTAATTTTTTTTTAAAAGAGGCAATGCGATATAGCAGTGCCCTGCACACACCCTAGACCACCTCGGTAGCTCTGGGACCCAGGCATCTGTAGCTCTCAAAGAGCCACGGTGCTTCCAGTGTGTAGCCATGGGCGGGCCACACAGGCCCGGCAGGCGAGCTCACTCACTGAATTTCAGACACCAAGAACAAGCCCTGGGGCACAGGGTCCCTGGGGAATGTGATCGCCTAGCCTCAGCTACATGAGGAAGGGCAGAAACGAGATGTGAGGCAGGGAGAAGCTGAATTTTATGGCCCTGGCTAACACAGACCACATTCCCCTTCTAGTGGTTCCCAGGCAAGAGAAAAAGGCGTTTCCAGGACCACCGTGCCAGGAATTAAACACAATTTAAAGCTGGCAGTAGCTGGAATGGTTTCCCGGGCCTCAGAGCCACCTCCGCACCCCCATCTTTCTGGTCTCACCACTAATGTGGCCAGTTTGGGTCCAGCTGGCAGAGCGCAGGGGAGGAGGCTGCTCTCTCACCAGGCAAACCGAGGACCGAGTAGAGGAAGGGCGCGGGGAATTATCCTCTTGCTCAAGTTCAAGAACAAGGCTACTGCTCAGCACATTTCCCACTCTAGAGGTCCCGCCCTGTCCTGCAGAAAAGTGAAGGGCAAGCAACACCACAGTCCAAATACCACTCACCTCAGGGCCAGCCTGTGACAGCGTAGCCACAGGACGGTTCACATGGAAAACTGGGGGGACCGCGCTGCGGGGAGGTGGTGGCAGTGAAAAGTCACAAATCTTCTTGCCCACTGTGCAACAGTCAGGGACAAAAGGTGGGATGGGTCAGTAGCCACATGATAAATCCCCCTAGGCCTCTGAAATCACAAATGTTCTGGTAACTTTCACTTTGTGAAGAGGAGTTAGTCTTTACTCCTCTCCTTTCCGGTGTCTTCTCCATTTTCAGGAGGCGCAGATTTGCATATTTGGGCAGCTCAAAATTGACAAGCCCAAAACTGACTGTGAGCTCACACCCCCAGATGTGTTCTCTAACTCCTCCCTATCTCTGTGACTTTGTTTCCCCAGTTGACTGAGCCAGAAACCTGGGACTCATCCTAGATTCCTCCCTTGTTCTCCGTCCTGCATCCAATCAGTGATCAAATGCCGCCACTATTCTGCCTCCAAACAGCCGGAGTCCACCACTCACCACTGACCCCAACGGTGTCCTGCTGCCTGCTGCCAAGCACTCTCCTCCACTGCTGCGCCAGCCTCACTGAAACCCAGTCACGCCTCCAACTCATCCTGGCTGTGGCCCAGCTGGCTTGCATACCACCTTCTTCTCAATTCACCTTCCAAATCAAGTCTCTGAAGACCTGCTTGCACCTACAAGTCACGGCTCACCTCCACACGACGTCCTGTAAGACGCCGGAGGACTTGGGCTTTCCTCTTCTCCAACCAACTTCTTTCCCCAGCCTGTATTTTAAGCTCCCTGCACACAACCTGTGTACCATCTTTCAACAAAGCCCATCCATCCTCCACACTTGGGCGTCTCCTCCAGGAAGTCACCCCTGACCTCTCGGGGCCACCCCTTCTATTACTATCATCACTGCACAGTGTGAAAATGATCTGTTCCTGTATATCTTCCGAACTCCTTGAAGACAAGGACAGTCTTGCCCAGTGCCTTGCACAATGTAGAGCTCCGTATTTCTAGGATATACTGTACTGGACTGAAAGCACTTGTTTTTCGAATATCAAGGCCTTTAGAATCTGGCAACAGCTGTAATGAAAACACATGCAAATCATGCTGAACTACAGATAGCACCAACAAAGAAAACATTACACTGCTGCTCTGGAATCAAAATATCCCCCATATAATGAAAAATGACATGTTGGGGGCTGATGCAGAGTTTATTGAATTAGGTTTTTCTATTTACAGCTGAGATCACATCTACACACTATTTTGCTAGTCTACATGGGTACATTATTTCTAACAAGCTTAAGACTTACCATGAATGGGCTCATTCATCCAAAACCACACTCACACTAATTCTTTTAAAACAGTAGTGCATACATTATACTCCTCCTATAAAGCCAGCTTTGATTAAAAACCACTAGTTTCAAAGATCAGTCTCTGATTTTGAAGATGAACCAATATATACACCATATGATCCTAAAATCTATTTTAGTCATTCTGTACAGTTGCTATCTTATTGGACTACAGTAAATACTTCTTAAAAGGACATTGATGAGGGGTACCATCTGGTGTTAACCTTAACCAGATAGCTGGCTTCCTCCTCCTCCTCCCCCCAAAAAACCTTTGGCCAAGAGTTCTGCACTGTGAAGACTGAAGGGACCTGGTGACGTTTCGGCATCAGTCCTGTTACTGCTTGGAGGTAACAGAAGCCGGCTTGTGTCCCCCTTTAATTCTACCACACTACATGACTCGCAGTTGGTTCTGAAATTAGAACGTTCACCACTGTACTTAAAATCTTAGGGGCATGAAGAGTCAGCTGGAACAAGGGAAAAAAAGTCGCAGGTGGGTAGGTAAGTAGGTGGGCACATGAAAAGCCAAGCTGCTCTGTCCAACACCAGTGTACATGTGCTTTAACTAAATGAACTCCGGAGGCCAGCAGCGGCAGACCTGCTCAATTCACCTTCCAAATCAGAACAAGGCCAAAAAGCTCAGGCTGGAGTTGTCAACTACGCATAGGTTCCGCCAGTGATGAGGAGCTCATAAGCAGGATCTCTACTCCTTCTGCACAACACGATGCAGGCACACAGCATGCCCAGTAGCTGTTGAAAGAAAATAATGGGGAAGAAAGGCTGAAAACCCTCTCATGGCAGGTGTCTATTTCTTTGTTTGTGATAGAGCTGTTTCAAAGTTCAATGACTTCAAATCATCAAAAAGGCAATAACAACAGTGATACAAGAAATTCTTATGAGTACATTATTTAAGGAACTAAGTCCTAAGCTTCAGCTTCCCTCCCAGGAACTCTTTGTGAAAGCAGGGAATCAAGTCTCTCTTATTTGGCATCCCCACTACTAGTCTCTCGAGTGCTGTCCAAAAGAACTTTCTGCAGCGATGGAGACATTCCATGTCTGCACTGTCAAATTTGGTAGCCACTAGCCTCATGTGGCTACTGAACCTGAAATGCAGTTACTGCAACTAAGGAGGTGCATTTTCTTTTTTAAATTAATGTAAATGCAGACACATGTGGCTGGTGGTTACCATCTGGATAGCAAAGGTCTGGGGAGTAGAATGAGCAAGAATGTTTGTGTTTAATGGTGGTCTTTTCAGGTCTTTTGGTTTTTGGAGAAACGGGCTTTATAGCAATCCACAAAATTCAGTATGTGAATAGCCCTATGGTAGAAAACCAATTCTGACGAAAAAAAAAAAAAAAAAGGTGTAAAGTTTGTTTCCTTCACATTGACTATTTTTGAAATTCCTGGTTCTGTAGTATTACATACATATTACTTTTGAAAGGTCACTCTTCCTTCATCATTTTATTTTAATTAAGTTCTAATCCTTCTGTGGTAGCATATTGGAATAGTAATAAAGTCATGCCATGTTATTTTGGGTAAGCAAAAGGATAAAGCTGGATTAAAGAGAAAATGATTCTAGAATTCTTGACCTACCGTCTCACAAAATATAAACAGTAACCAAAGGGCTAAATAAGACAAAGTTAATTTGCTGTTCTAACTGCTCATTGATGGGGAAAAGCCTCAGTTATTTGATTTTAAAAGACAGGACCTTCTATACATATGGGGGTCAAGCTAATTTCAGCAAAATGTACCCAATTCATAAACAGACTCTTGATGTTTGAAGTGGAAGATTAACTACTATTAAGACACATATACACATGATGATGCCCTCAATCTGAATTCTCCATGGCATAAAGTCACCCACTCCAATTCTACCCTCACATTAACCTATATTCTGCCCATGTGGGATATATAGTTGCTGCTCAAATCCATCAGTTTCACTATTTGCTGAGTGCTTACTAGTGTAAAGCACCTTAAACACACTTAAGAAGTGAATATTGTTTAAAGTTTACTAAATAATTTAAGTCAATTCTAGACCGATATAGTACCTAATTCCTAGAGAAATACGTTTCTGTTCTCTGTACATCAAAACATTGTTAGAACAGCTATAAACTCAAACACAATTATGTTCATAGGCAATGTTAAATTGAGCAATACAAATGCTAAGCTCAGAAATCACTGACTTCCTGGGGGAAAAAATCTCTTTTCCCGCCCCCACCTCCCACATTCCTTTCAATTGGTTAACTTCTACTGAAGGAGTCAGCATTTTCAAAATGAGGTCTGAAACAAGTATTTCTTTCCTCATTTGTTTATTTCAATGAAGTCAACTTGCATTGATCTTAAAACAATTAAATAAGCTTGATAAAACTCTATTCATGCTTGGAAATTAATCTGCTTAAGACATTAAGCTCTATACAATAATTTCTCATCCTCACCATTAAGTAATACAGGCTCATTTCCAAAGGCCTGCTATACTGAAATTTCATTGATTTTTGGAATTTTCCAATAACAGACTTGGAAATATTACACAAATATTTTAGCTCCAACATTATTTCTTGCAGTGAAATGCTCTCTTGCAATATTCAAGGCATAAGAACTAAACTTCACTTAGCCCAAATGTAACACCAGCAACTGCAAAAATTGCAAAAAAAATGACAAGTGGTGATTAAAAACCTGACTGCCAAAGTAAAATGTTCTATGATATACTATGTAGGTCGTGGTATAGGGAAATAGGCATTCTTACATTAAAAATGAGAATTCTTGCATATTAGAAACACTCTTTGCTGAAAAAAATTGGAAATACCTATCAAAATTCATTCACACATTCTGATCCTGTAATTTCATGGTTATAAACTTTTGCTATAAACAGCCCATTAATATTGATTAAAGTATGCCCATAAAATGGAATACTATGCAGCCATGAAATTTAAAAAGCAGATCTATATCCAAAATACACTAATTTGTTTTTAAGAAGGTACAAAAGGTTGCAAACTGTGTGAGTCCATTTATATAATATTTTGTAATGTTGCCAGAGTGTGAGCGGAAGGAGGAGGAAGTTACTCATTTTCATGTATAACTGGTAACTGAGGAGGAGGAGGAAAGAGCAGTCTCCAGTGGCTTCACACATGGCATAGAGACCAGAAAAAAAGCAACACAGCCTTGGGAAACAGTTCTCTATGAAATCTGCTCTTGATCATTCTATCTTGAGGACATGCCAGGTTCATGAGACCCCAAAGTAAAGACACGATTCCCATTTTCCCCATACTGCCTTTGTAGAAAACCTTACTCACAGCAGATACTCAGGAGCTTGACAAATCAAAACTTAGATTTTTGCCAATTATTATGACCAGACTCTTTAAATATAAAATTCACAATTTGATCATGAGTTAATTTAAGAGGGTGGCTATTCTCAAAGAAGTGAGATATCCTGCTGATTAATAAGGGGTATATGCAATTTTTTTTTTTTTTTTTTTTTTTTTTTTTTGAGATGGAGTCTTGCTCTTCTTGCCCAGGCTGGAGTGCAATGGCTCAATCTCAGCTCACTGCAACCTCCGCCTCCTGGTGATCTGCTGACCTCAGGTGATTTACCAGCCTTGCCCTCCCAAAGTGCTGTGAATTACAGACATGGGCCACCATGCCATGAGGTCAGGAGTTCAAGACCAGCCTGACCAATATGGTAACACCCTGTCTCTACTAAAAATACAAAAATTAGCCAGGAGTGGTGGCATGCACCTGTGGTCCCAGCTACTCAATAGGCTGAGCCAGGAAGAATCGCTTGTAGTGGGGAGGTAGAGGTTGTAGTGTGCTAAGATTGCACCACTGCACTCCAGACTAGGCGACAGAGCGAGATTCTGGCTCAAAAAATAAAAAACAAAACAAATAAAAATAAAAAACCTAATTCTTTTATATTAAAAAATCCTGTTCATAATAATTATCTGGTATTTTTCAGGTTTTTCTTTCTTAGTCATTTTGGTCCTACCCAAACCTAGATTATTTAATGAACTAGAGCAAGAGTCACCAAACATTTTCTTAAAGAACCATATCATACATATTTTAGGCTTTGCAAACCAAGATAAAAATCAGACTCTGCTATAACTATTCAACTCTATCATTTTACCTCTGTATTTTATTCAGCTGAACTCTACCATTTTACTTCTGTATTTTATCCAGCTGAAGTGTCAATTAATTGTCAGGTTTCCGGACAACATTTAGAAATTTAATCTTCTGAGAATCTTATACTTGAAACTGGAGGCAGAGTACAAACAGAGGCGGGGTCAAGCTTTAGTGTTGCCGCTCTCTGTGTGATGGTCATGTCATACTATCCTTGCTTGCCCTAAATTTTGTGGCAAAACGAAGAGGAACCACAACTGGAAAATCTCCACAACCATCCTCTTCAGCCTTGACTTTCTATGTTAGGGTCAGTAGACAAGCACAGAAGCTCACTGATGAGTTACTTCTGCCTTTGTTCAGGTGTTCCATATCCAGGGCACTCACCTACCAGATTTTGAATACCCAAAGCTTAGACGTTTATAGGTGCTCTTAATAACAACTAGGGGGCCAGCAGGGTGGCTCATGCTTGTAATCCCAGCACTTTGGGAGGCTGAGGTGGGCAGATCATGAGGTCAGGAGTTAGAGACCAATATGTCCAATATGATGAAACCTGTTTCTACTAAAAAATACAAAACTTAGCCAGGCGTGGTGGCATACTCCTGTAGTCCCAGCTACTTGGGAGGCTGAGGCAGGAAAATCGCTTGAACCTGGGAGGCGGAGGTTGTGGGAGCTGAGATCGTGCCACTGCACTCCAGCCTGGGTGACAGAGTGAGATTCCATCACAAAAAAAAAAAAAAAAAAAAAGAAAAGAAAATTCTTTCATTATTTCAAATGAATTTTCTCCCCTTAAAACCTAAGTTTTTTAAATTTTCAAAACCACTAGGTTTTGAGTGTGTGAAAGCTCTGACTCCCTAAACTTGAGCAGCCTTGCTGAACTGAAAATATCAAGCTTTATCAGCTATTACTTAAGTCAGGGTGACTTAAGTATAAAACACATATGCCAGTCGTATTTCAATTAAGAGACTAGTTGAAATATTTATTAGCCCCTATTGAAAAGTATTTAGTAAAGAAATATCTGCCAGGCTAAGCCACTTAACTAGATGAGGGACATGGCTAAGTGCTTATTTTTATCAGTCTTCTATATACACGTTGCATATTTCATGTACATAGCTTTTTTGCTGCATACTAATGCATGCAGCTTTATTACTGAACGTAAAATCATTCAGAATGCACAGTTCAGAATCCTACTTGGGAAAAGAGACCTCCTTCATATTTCATTATTTTTAGCCAAATGAATGTGTTTGCATAAATAATCAAAATATGAAATAAATCCCTGCTGATCATCAGATTACTGCTATGCTGAGCTGCAAGGTAAATGCTTAGAAGGGCAAAGACCATGGCAAATAAAGAAGCAGGCTTTTTAATGAATCATTTCAGGGCTGTCTGAATATCAGCAAAGTAAACAATCATCCTTTTCCCATTTTAAAAGGCCTTTCCTACACTAGCTTCTGTTCAAATATACAAAGAGCAAGCAATCCAAGCAACTTACATTTAAACTAGCAATTACATTGGTTTTATCTAACAATTAAAAGATATCTACACTTTCCTTTAAAAACAATTTTTTTGTTTTTGGTAGAAATGGTGTCCCATTGCCCAGGCTGGTCTCAAACTCCCAATCTCATGGGATCCTACTGCCTCCATTTCCCAAAATGCTGGCATTACAGGTGTAAGCCATCATACCTGGCTCTTTTAGCTCTTGAAATAAGCTTCAGGCTTAAGAAAGCATAAGCTGAGGCTGGGCACTGTGGCTCACACCTGTAATCCCAGCACTCTGGGAGGCCAAGGTGGGTGGATCACCTGAGGTCAGGAGTTCAAGCCCACCCTAGCCAACACAGTAAAACCCTGTCTCTACTAAAAACACAAAAATTAGTTGGGCATGGTAGTGGGCACCTGTAATCCCAGCTACTTGGGAGGCTGAGGCAGGAGAATTGCCTGAACCCAGGAGGCAGAGGTTGCAGTGAGCCGAGATTGTCATTGCACTCCTCCAGCCTGGGTGACAAGAGCAAAACTCTGTCTCAAAAAAAAAAAAAAAAGCAAGCATATGCTGGGTGCACTGGCTCACGCCCGTAAATCCCAGCACTTTAGGAGGCCAAGACAGGAGGACTGCTTGAGGCCAGGAGTTTGAGACCAGCTTGGGCAACATAATGAGACCCCATTTCTGCAAAAATAAAAATTAGTTGGGTGTGGTGGTCCATGTTTGTAGTCCCAGCTACTCGAGGAAGCAGGAGGACTGCTTGAGCCCAGGAGTACACGGTTACAGTGAGCTATTATCATGTCACTGCACTCAAGCCTGAGTGACAGAGCGAGACCTTGTCTCTATTTTTAAAATTTTTAGTGCAAGAGACCAGAGTTGTAGTACCAGTTCTTAATTTAGGTATATAAATATGTAAAACCCGTGAGGACAGAAAAACAAGAACTAAAAGCAGAACTAGCATACAAAAAGACTGAATAAAGCTTGTATTTCCAAACTGAAAGAAATATACTTTGTAAAAATGTGATATTCTGTTAAAATACCTTCAAAGAATATACTATGACAAGAGTTTGTTTATATTTTGAACAGGCCACTCACTAATCAAGAAAGACAGTAAGGCAAACAGTTCCCTCCCCATCCAGATTTCTGGTTTCTTTAGACTATTCTGGGTCTAAGCGTATAGACAAGAAATGGAAGATGTGGGGAACTGGAGGCCAGTACCTCAGTCACTTCCACATTACCTACATACACAAAGATTCGATGTAATAGGGATTAAAACCATTCAGGGTTGACATCAAAGAACCAACTCACTCTGATACCAGCTCCTTGAGAAGCTGTGCTTACCTGAATAGCTGCAAATGCCAGCGCAGCCCAGATCACGTGCATCATGATTTCTTGTAGCTTCTTCACAACTAGAGCCTCACAACCCTGTAACAAACACAGTCATCCTCATTAGAAGTCGTCTTTACAAGTGAAAGCTGCAGATTCACAGGTTAATGACAGAAAGGAAAATGACAGAAACTGAAAGAGGGAAAAGATTCCATGACGGATATGATTTACAGACATGTAATTAAAGCAAAAGACAATGCATTTTATAATAATTTACAGTAAAACAAAATGACATTAAAGACAGGCAAAAGGTGGGAGAAAAGAAGTTCCAGATGGTGATAAGAAGTGGTGAAAAATAGGTTAATCAGGTTAACTCAAGTCTTGGCCAAGAGACTCACCTCAGCATAGAGGTCGGAAGGGTGGGCCAGGCTGCCATTGCAATTGCTGGCAGTCTCCCTGCAGCAGCTAAGAGGGACACTCTGGTTTTTGGTTTCTTTGAACCAATCTGTATTTTCCCAGTCTGAGTAGTTGTGAATTCCACAACAATGCAGCTAGAAGAGAAGAGAATAGGTATTATTCCTTACAAAACCCAAATATCTGAAGTTCCATGTACTATGGAGCTTTAAAATAAGCTACTCTAGACCAGTGATGTCCAATATAACTTTCTATAATAATGGAAAGTCTCCATGGTCCAATATAGCAGCCACTAACCACATGATGCTCTATTTAGCACTTAAATTGTGACCAGTGTGACTAAAGAATTGCATTTTAAAATTTCATGTAAACAGCCAGACATGGCTAGTAGCTCTAGAACTTCCATTTGAAAAGTACATTGCCAGGCCATGCACAGTGGCTCATGGCCTATAATCCCAGCACTCTGGGAGGCCAAGGCAGGTGGATCACCTGAGGTCAGGAATTCAAGACGAGCCTGACCAACATGGTGAAACCCTGTCTCTACTAAAAACACAAAATTAGCCGGGCATGGTGGTGCATGCCTTTAATCCCAGTTACTCAGGAGGCTGAGGCAGGGGAATCACTTAAACACGGGAGGCAGAGATTGCAGTGAGCAGAGATTGCGCCATTGCACTCTAGCCTGGGCAAGAAGAGCAAAACTTCGTCTTAAAAAGAAAAAAAAGTATATTGCCTATAAAGGGTAGCTTCTAACTAAGGAAAAACTTCATGTCTTACATGTTAAATATTATTTCCAATGACAAAGTGTTTACAATATTTTGTCTGAAAAGTATGAAATTTGCTTTAAGACAATGAAGTAAAAAATCAGTGGGGGAAACTCAGACTGAAAAAGTTGGTAATTTTTGAGGCAACGTTGGGGTGCATCTATTATACTATTCTTTCTACCTTTGTGTATGTCAAACTGTAAATAACAATTTTTTTGACAGTCTGTCTGTTGCCTTTTCTGATCTGGTTTTCTAAAGGATATATAGACCTCCTGTCTCCCCTGTAGTCTATCTGGATTCCCACCTTTCCTGTGACACGTACTTTGCTCTTCCATTAACACCCCTTTGCTAATTACTTTGGGAGAATACACACTGGGGTCAGGGAAGGGAAAGTCAGATGACTAAAAAAAAAAAAAAGTTCAAGATGTTTCTTATCTGCCCAGGTGATGAAATAAACTTTTCAAGGGTGAAGGCTGGGGAAAAATACTGGTCACATCAGGATAGCCATGGATGTGAAAAGACATGGCTAATTTACACAGAAATAGCAGTGAGATTAATGTTGACCCAACAGTGACTGAAAGCTCACCTGTCTCTGTACATAATCAATAGCCCGGCTAGCAGCATCAGGGTTGGTTCCATTGTAGGTCTTATACACTTTCTGAATGCTGCGATCAACCTCATTTTCCACCTGAATCAGAACAAAGAATTCAGTCCCTCAAAAATCCTGGTAAAAGTAACATTAGCCAAAGCTCCTGCTAAAATACTGAAATGCAACGTTTACAAGCTGTCAGATCTCTGTGGATTTCTAGTAAAGTTTTCTCCCTGCCTGCCTTCATCTTCATATACAGATGAAGGCAGGAAGGAGAAAAGTGACAGGTAAAAATTCGGACATATACCACATAGATTAAAGCGTTCAAAGAGAAGATTGTGTGCAAGATGACAGGCTGACAATGTATTCAAAAGGGAGAAAAGTTCAGGCTTGGGATAGATGTCCTGAATTATAAATGGATGCCTTCCTTTCACAAGTAAGTTCAGTGTGCTCTCAGAAGACTATTCATTTTCCTTTCCTAAAGGAGGCAAAATAAAACAACTCTGAAGCTCTTAGAAGATACTTTTAGGACAACTGCCAACATTATGTTCATTTTATTTATTCAATGTTTAGAGTTGGCTAAATGTGCAAAAGTAATCAGCAGGTTAAAAAAAAAAAATCAGTCCTTAGAAGTGGCACTTTCTGAAACAGCTGCTGTTCAATGTATTGCAAAGAGGAGTCAGGAAACAAGCTTCATAGCTTATTGCTGCCAATTACTAAAGTGGCAAGCAAGTGTAATTTAGTGAAGTTTGCTTGTACTGGATTCTCCTTATCCCTCTGAGGATTGGACCTATCTAGTAATTTTAACAGTGATATAAGCAGTCCATAAAATTGACAACCACATCATAGGCAGGGACATAATCCATCGCATTTTTTTTTTTAGCACAGTTGTACAGTACCTTACATATCAATGGTCTGAAAATTAACTTGGCAGATTATGCCCTTGACTCAAAAATCATTAAGTTATAATGAGAATGAGTCTATTATGTCTTGACCATGCCTCTAAAATTATACCCATATTAATTAATTTAAAGCAGCCTGTTTAGCCGTAAGTGGTACTAGAGGTAGACGGAAAAATCAGGCAAAATAGAAAGGAAAGAACAGTGAAATAAAAGGAAGGAACGACTAAAAAGAATGAAAGGCCAAGAAAGGAGTGCTGGCAACAGCTGCCTTGGTGTTAAGCCGGCAGGACGCTTTGCTCCTCAGGACAGGGCTGGGAGGTAGCACCACAACTCACGACATCCTTTTCTATGCTCAGGACCAAAGTATTTTTTAAAGAGACAATGGAAAACGAAATCTTAGGTTTGGTTCTTCTAAAGCAGAAATCAGAAAATTATGCCTCTCCCTCATACAGGCAATCTATGTGCTGAGGAAACCTGAACAAGCTTCTCAGCTGATGATTCATTGGCAGCTCTAAATAGCTACACTCAAGAACAATACCGATATAATACTCTGGTATATTAAATGAGGAGTCTTGATATGTAAATATTTGCCAATTAACTTTAGATATTTAAAACAGATTAAATAAGTAAAGCAAAATAAAATGTTTACTCTAATAAAATGACTGTTCTATTTTACTTGAGAAACTTGAACCACTTCTAAGGCATTATGAGAATGACAACAGACAACATACCTTTGCTCTGTAAACATATCCCAAAACCACTACAACAACTTCTGTGACAAAAACCAAGAGCAGGATGATGACAAACTGTAAGAAAAGATTGTTTAAAATTATATACAAATGAAGAAATGACTTTAAATATACTCTTGATTAAAAAAACAATTATCAGAGATGACTGCTGGAAGTTTAAATGCGAACTCTGTTCCAACCGTGAGAGCCAGGGAGTCTCATGTTCAAGAAGAGAGTATTGTAGACTAGACCCCTGCGTGTGCTGACAACAAATCTTACCGTGGCAAGACCGCAGCGACTTTCCCGGATTGTGGCACAGCAGCCAATCAGCCCAATGATGAAAAGCAGGGCTCCTACGGCTATGATCACTACAGCAGGGATGAGGGTGTACACATCTTCAAAGAAGTGGTCATAGTCGTCATAAGTGATGAAGACATAGGCTCCCACATAGCATAAAATGCCAGCTGCCCCCTGTAGAAAACAAAGTCAGTACTGGTCTCTAAGCACAGCTGGTAAAAATTTCCTATATTGCTTAGTATGGTGTAATTTAATGAGTTACCCTAACTGTTATAGACTTTTTTCAGTAAAGCTGAAAAATCTTCTATGATTCCTTATTAAGAGCATTTCCATACTAAAGTTAAAAAGTTGTCCACACTTCACTTACTTTTCAATAATTAATGGTTCAGCTAGGACCAAGAAACCATAACGCAGAAATGACAGTGATGGCAACACACACCTACGCATCCCTAAAGGCTTCCTGTAGCTCGCTTCCACATCCCAGACGGGTTAGTATGGTGTCGGGGGATCCTTGCTCACTGCAATTGCCCTCAGTAAGTGGGAAAATTTGGTAGAAATGACAGAGCTAGGATTTGAACTCAGGCAATCTGACTCCAGAATCTGTACTTCTAATCACTACCTACCCCACCTCAGGGGAAAGAAAACATAACAACTAGTAAGCATGATACCTACACCCCACTTCCAAAAAATTTTGCTGTCCTGTGCTCGCTTCGGCAGCACATATACTAAAATTGGAAAGATACAGAGAGGATTAGCATGGCCCCTGTGCAAGGATGACACACAAATTCATGAAGCGTTCCATATTTTTACAGAGATACAGACCAATGGAACAGAACAGAGGCCTCGGAGGCAATGCCACACATCTACAGCCATCCGATCTTTGACAAACCTGACAAAAACAAGCAATGGGGAAAGGATTCCCTGTTTAATAAATGGTGTTGGGAAAACTGGCTAGCCGTGTGCAGAAAGCAGAAACTGGACCCCTTCCTGACACCTTACACCAAAATTAACTCCAGATGGATTAAAGACTTAAACATAAGACCTAACACCGTGAAAACCCTAGAAGAAAAACTAGGCAAAACCATTCAGGACATAGGCATAGGCAAGGACTTCATGACCAAAACACCAAAAGCATTGGCAAAAAAGCCCAAATAGACAAATGGGACCTAATCAAACTCCACAGCTTCTGCACAGCAAAAGAAACAGTCATTAGAGAATCGGCAACCAACAGAATGGGAAAAGATTTTTGCAATCTACCCATCTGACAAGGGGCTGATAGCCAGAATCTACAAAGAACTAAAACAGATTTACAAGAAAGAAACAAACAAGCCCATTCAAAAGTGGGCGAAGGATATGAACAGACACTTTACAAAAGAAGACATACATGAAGCCAACAAACATAGGAAAAAATGCTCATCATCCCTGGTCTTCAGAGAAATGCAAATCAAAACTACATTGAGCGCCGGGCGCGGTGGCTCAAGCCTGTAATCCCAGCACTTTGGGAGGCCGAGGCGGGTGGATCACGAGGTCAAGAGATCGAGACCATCCTGGTCAACATGGTGAAACCCCGTCTCTACTAAAGGTGCAAAAAATTAGCTGGGCATGGTGGCGTGTGCCTGTAATCCCAGCTACTCCGGAGGCTGAGGCAGGAGAATTGCCTGAACCCAGGAGGCGGAGGTTGCGGTGAGCCAAGATCGCACCATTGCACTCCAGCCTGGGTAACAAGAGCGAAACTCCGTCTCAAAAAAAAAAAAAAAGAAAAAAAAAAAAAACTACATTGAGATACCATCTCACGCCAGTTTGAATGGCGATCACTAAAAAAATCTAGAGACAACAGACGCTGGAGAGGATGTGGAGAAATAGGAACACTTTTACACTGTTGGTGGGAGTGTAAATTAGCTCAACCATTGTGGAAGACAGTGTGGTGATTCCTTAAGGACCTAGAAATAGAAATTCCATTTGACCCAGCAATCCCATTACTGGGTATATATCCAAAGGATTATAAATCGTTCTACTATAAGGACACAGGCACCCGAATGTTCATTGCAGCACTGTTTACAATAGCAAAGACCTGGAACCAACCCAAATGCCCATCGATGATAGACTGGACAGGGAAAATGTGGCACATATACATCATGGAGTATTATACAGCCATCAAAAACGATGAGTTCGTGTCCCTTGTAGAAACATGGACGAACCTGGAAACCATCATTCTCGGCAAACCGACACAAGAGCAGAAAATCAAACACCACATGTTCTTACTCATAGGCGGGTGTAGAACAATGAGAACACATGGACACAGGGAGGGGAGCATCACACACTGGGGTCAGTTGGGGGAAATGGGGGAGGGACGGTGGGGGGTGGGAAGTTGGGGAGAGATAGTATGGGGAGAAACGCCAGATATAGGTGAAGGGGAGGAAGGCAGCAAATCACACTGCCACGTGTGTACCTATGCAACCATCTTGCATGTTCTTCACATGTACCCCAAACCTAAAATGCAATAAAAAAAAAAACTTTCTGTCCTATGGCAAAGCTAGAGGGCTCAGTCACTAAAGAACATTACAAACCCTCTATTAATTCTTTAGAATGGTGGTTCTCAAACTTTCAAGTGAATAGGAACTGCCTGAGGATCTGAATAAAACACAGACTGGTTCAGGAGGGTGGATGCTGAGAGTGTACATTTCTAACAAGTTCCCAGGTGATGCTGGGGCAGCTTCTTCTCAGAGCGTATTTCCAGTAACAAGGTATTAAAGACCTAAAGGGAAGGTGAGCACACAAAGGCGTGCGATAGGTGTGCCTTATTTCAGCTGCTGCTCCAGGCATCCCTCTCTAGCTGCAGTCTTACTTTCTCTGCTATTGTCAATTTTGCTATCTTTGGATACCAGCTCTGTGCTGGCAGCCCAGTGTCACTGGCTTATATGCAAACAAGCAAATGCAGTGTCTGAGTAACTGAAAACATTTGGTCTAATGAACTATCATTTGTAGAGCACTTTGAAACTTTCATAAGAAGTATTTCATCATCCTTTAAAATTTAACATATAAATCATCTTCAAACTAGAAATAGCTGTCACAATGGTACTGGAAATATCATTAACTTCTCTGAACCTGAAAACCCAGATCACTTAAGTTTATGACATTTAGTAAGCTTGGGCATCATCAGTATATTTTCTTACACTAGGCCATTAGGATCACTGTCAGATGAGGAAGAAAAAGACTCCATTTATGTAAATTTGGGAAAGTAATTTGATTTTTAAAAAATGTAACATTAACTTTAAAAAATGAGAAGACAACTAGAATACTCAAGGCAATTTTTACATTGTTTTAAAACTCTCTTCCTCTGGCTTCCAAGAGGCCCCACTGCTGATTTTCTTCCTACTTCCCCAGCTGTTCACGTTTTCATTCTCTTCACAGACTCTGAGTGAGTCATCTCCAGGGTTCTGTCTTCAGCCTTATTCTTTAGTCATTCTCTGGGCTTTCCGTGGGCTCCAGGAGCCTTGGCTTCACTAGTCATGGCAGCTCACTACCTGAGCTATCATCTCAGACCCACACATTTCCACCTACAAGTTCCAGAGACATCATGTCAACGTCAACCCGTCTCAAAGCCTTTCTGCCTTCCTGCCCAGCCTATCTAATCTTCCCTTACATTCCTATCATAGCAAAAGGTACCAGACAGCTAATTTTTCTGGTCAAACATCTGAGGATTAACTCTTTCCTTGCCCTACCTCTATAGCCCATCAATCACAAAACTTCAAGTCTACTTCCAAAACGTTATTTGAATACCTCAATTCCTCTTCAATCCCACTGCAGTGCTTTGTCTTAATTTGGGCCTTATCTTATCCCCCTCACTTAAAATCAGGATGAGACAAGTGAGTCCCATGATGAACTAAGCTGTTCTTCCTTTTCAGCCTCAGATCTCATTAACCCTCATGCACTGTGAACAATATAAAACTGTTATACCCAAATGGACTGCATATTCTCTCAATTCTTTGCCTCTGCTGTTCTCTCTAGAATACTCTCTCTTCAAATGCTTGGGAACTCCTTGTCACTCATTAAGATGAAGCTTAAATGTCACTTCTTCCTTTTGGAAGCCATTCTTGACCATTTCAGGCCGGATTAGCTACCTTGGAGGACAGACACATCCCCTAGTGCAGAGCTCTAATCGAATATTTATCAAAACAGTTGCAATTATAGCTATTCCTGTCTCAACACACCTTGAGAGCACAAATTGTACCCATCTGTCTTTCAGCCTTGTATCATCTAGAACAGTGCTTGGCACACAGCATGTATCAGTTAAAATTTACTGAGTACACCTCATCTTACTGCTTCCCTTGAAATCACCCTCCCATCTCTATCATAAGCTTTGGTGTATATTTGCTTTGGTTTGTATTTGTATTTGGTTTGTATCTGGTTTCTCTTCAGTTCAGTGCTTATACTTTTAGTTCACTATTCAAATATTTGGCAACTTAATCCAGCTGGCCGAATTCTGATGGCTATTACAACTGGAATATATTAATTTATCATAAATATCTGTCATAAATATAAATGTTGTACTTGTGGCAAACTGCCTGTTCAAAGGTTCTCGGAGTTCACGGACATATTTGCTTTTGGGGCATAGTACTAGAGAATGAAGGTGAACAAAAAAGCGGGGGGGAAAGGAGAGAAACAGCTTAATTTTATTTTGGGTGCATTTGTTACAGAAATATGCCCGCTACTTAACAATCTTACCAAACATCCCTTTTTATTGACCACTTGTGTGATATATATTCACACATATTTTGCTAAATAGTATCAGTCCTCAAGTTAAATTAGAAGCAATCCAAAGTGTAAATTAATCAAATTTCGTCATTTGTTTTCACTAGGGATTTCTCTATCCTTTAATGTTGTCGCTTTAAAAAAAAAAAAAATCCAAAAGGCAATATTTATTTCTTAAAAGGCTTGAATTAGAATGAATTCCATTTCTGAGGTTTTGATAAGTTTTAGCCTATGTATATTTAAATGAAAGTAAGAGAAGGACTTATGTACTTAACAATTAACCTGAAACGTAGTTCACTGAAGAACTACTTGCATTTTACATATAAAATGATGAGTTTTCAATCTAAAGAGATTGCTATGAGAATCACACTCAGTGCTGCCTGGAGCTGGACCAAGGGAAACGTTTCCCCTGCTGCCACTGC